AGCAAAAAAAAACCTCAAAAAAAAAAAAAAAAAGGAAAAGGTTGTAATCATAGAGCTTACTTCATTGGCTTATGGGGGTCGCGCGATTTAGTCTTCAGGGCCCCAGCACGGTAAGTGCTGTTTAGTTGCTTGTCAGATGTAAAAACAGGTTCAAGCAGCTCCACCTATTCTCACCCTACTGCCTCCGACAGGGAGGCTGCCTCTGAGGCCACTTGCCAGGCTACACCTGCCCTGCATGATGGCAGTGATGAGCCATGGTCTCCGGTGAAAGAATTGTTAGCATCACACCCCCAAGCCCTGGAGGGAGAGAGGACTGGTCTGGTCTGCTTCTTCCTGACCTACGGCTTCAGTTTCCTCCGTGAAGTTTCTGGTCCTGTCACCAGCTTAGTGTTGAGGGAGGGGCACTCTCAGCTCCATGGCAGAAAACTCACATACACAAAGTGAAAACCAAAACAGACATTGGAGCAGTGTCACAAAACAAGCTCATGGTTCATTGTCAGGGGAATGGGCTTTTCATCTTTCCTTTGAGAAGCACCCCAGGGCAGCCAGTAGGTGGTGGGTTGGTTAAGGCACTGGACTCCCACACGGCTGAATGAGGTTCAGGTCCTGAGTCCTGGACCTGGCAGCTTGCTTCCTTACATTCCTTATCTTCCTTTTTTCTCTCTCTGGTCAAATTAAAATAAAATAATAAATAAAATAAAATAAAAAATTCTTTGAAAAAAAAAAAAAGGACCACCACAGGACCAATTCACGGCCTGGTAGTTAAAGGAGCAGATCCCACGTAGCCAACTGGACCCAGTGGCTTGAGAAACATGCCAGGTGCGTGTGCGTGTGTGCGTGCCCAAAACCCTGACAGGAGGAGAGATGGAGAAAGGACTGCAGCCTGACCGACCCGCTGGGAGGCTCTCTCTCCGTCTCTCTCTGGTAAGCACACACAGCCTCTGGCAAAGTGGGGAAAAAATAAAAAGCACCACTGTAAATCACAGCCCTCCACCAACATTCATTTCTTCGTAAGCGCCTGCTGTGTGTCAGGCAACGTGTTAGATTCTAAGGAAAAATCAATTCATGAAACTGCAGGTTTCTGCCCTTTTCCATTTTACAGCCTGAACATAAAAACCCCAGTGTCCCTATATAATGAAAAATTATGGCAAATGCCCGCAAAGAAAAGTCGCAGGTGTTCTGAGGGTGTGGCATGGGGCACCTGCTCTGCAGGGTCAGAAAAGCCTCTCTGCAGAGGGCATTATCTGGTCCCTGCTGGATCAGTCACAAAGGGAACAAGGAGGAAAGGCATGAAGCGGTGACGTCATGAAGGCACTGAGGGAATAGAAACCTTGGCGCGGTCAGGAAGATGAGGCTAACCCCATGGCTTAGTGGTTAAGGGAGCTGGATCCCACGTGGCTGACTGTGGTTTGATTCCCGGCCCTAGAGGCTTGAGAAACACTGTGTGTGTGTGTGCCTACATTCAAATCCTGGCAGGATGGAGAAACGGAGGAGTGGTTGCAGTGTGACCATGCCCTGGGGGGTGCTTTCTCCCTGTCTTTCCCTCTCTCTCTCTCTCTGGTGAGCACACATACCCTCTGTCAAATAAAAAATAAATAAAGAGAAAGAAAGAACAGCAGGAGAGTGAGTGGCTGGCAAGAGCCTGGTGATTAAAGCATTGCAGTAGCCAGGGACAGAATCCTGCAGGCCTCGCAGTGGGAGGAGCCAGGGCAGTCATACTTGCTGTGACAAGGATGACGGGGAAGATGGTGATGGACTGGTCCCAAAGCAGCTGTGTTGCATGTACTAATTCCTTCCCACCACCTCCTGGCTTAGGAAGGCTTGGGATGTTAGAGGAAAAGAAAGAAGTTCCTGGGACCAGCAGATGGTGTCATGGTTACGTAGCTGCACTCCTGCCCCAGCAGCTTAAAACTCACACTGGGCACATGTGCACAGGTGCCCAAGATCCCCAGAGGCAGACAGAGGAAAAGGGATTGTGGTGTGGCCATCCCCCCCACCCCCCGCCTCACCGCCGGAGGGAGGATTTCTTGCTTTTCATCTCTGTCTCTGTCTGTCTCTCCAGCGAGCGCATTCACCCTATAGACAAAAATCTCTCTAAAAAATTTAAAATTAAAATTAAAAAAAATAGAAGTTCCTAATGTCTGGGGTATATAAGACAACCATTGAGATATGACCCTGGAAAGGTCTGATTGGAGCCAGATCCTGGAAAGTGTCACATTCCAGGTGACCGTTTGGAGTCCAGCATATTATCAGCGGGGAGCCACAGAAGGTGTGAGTTCGAGGCGCGACAGAGGCTGCAGCAGGCTGGGGTTACCTTACACTAAGCCCTGCAGGCCAAGCAGGCCGTGGTGACCCTCCCTGCTTCTTTTCCAGGTGGTCCCTCGAGTGTTCGGGCGCGTGGTGGGTAAGAGCCGAGAGGCCGTGGCCCGGGCCATGGTGCTGGAGATGTTCCGAGAGGAGGACTACTACAACGACGATGTCCTGGACCAGATGGGCGCCAGCATCCTGGGCGTGGAGGGCCCCCGGCGCCACCCCGACGAGCCCCCCGAGGACGAGGTCTTTGAGCTCTTCCCCATGTTCATAGGGGGGCTTCTTTCTGCCCACAACCGGGCCATGCTGGCTCAGCTCGGCTGTCCCATCAAGAACCTCGATGCCCTGGAGAACGCCCAGGCCATCAAGAAGAGGCTGGGTAAGATGGGCCGGCGGGTGCTGCCTCCCACGGAGCTCCTCGACCACCTCTTCTTCCACTACGAGTTCCAGAACCAGCGCTTCTCCGCCGAGGTGCTCAGCTCCCTGCGCCAGCTCAATCTGGCAGGCGTGCGCATGACCCCCCTCAAGTGCACAGTGGTGGCAGCTGTCCTGGGCAGCGGCAGGCATGCCTTGGATGAGGTGAACTTGGCCTCCTGCCAGCTGGACCCTGCTGGGCTGCGCACACTCATGCCCGTCTTCTTGCGTGCCCGGAAGCTGGGGTAAGGGCCCACCCACATGCACGGGTCTGAAGGAAGGAGAGGGTTGGGGGTGGGGAGGCGGGGGTCAAGGTGTTAGAGAGCGCCCAGTGTGCTGAGGGAGGGCAGGCGGTGCGATGGGGAAAGTCTGGTGTGGGTGGAGGTGACAGCACTAAGAAAGGAGGGCAGGATGGACTGGGGGAGGCAGGCTGGAGAGAAAAGGGAAGCAGATGGCCAGACTCCAGGCTGAGCTCCTTCCCTGGCCTCTCACCTCCCCTCTGGCCACTGTCTGCTCCAGCTTGCAACTCAACAGCCTGGGCCCCGAGGCCTGCAAGGACCTCCGAGACCTGCTGCTCCATGACCAGTGCCAAGTCACCACCCTGCGGTGAGTGCCCGGGAGGGGGCTGGGGAGGCTCTGGCCATCCTGGCAGTGACCAGCTAAGGTCAAGAGTGAGCGCTCTGCCTCACATACCGGCCACAGGCCCACCCGTGGCGTAGCAAAGGAGGTGGGAGTCCAGGCCCTGTCCTGCTCCCCTTACCCCAGGCTCTATTTTTTTTTTTTAAAGAGAGATTTCTGCTATAGGGCATATGTGCTCCCTGGAGAGACAGAGAGATAGAGAAAGTGAGAAATCACCCCTGGAAGGGATGGCTGTGCCGCAGTCTCTTCTCTATTCCCTGTTGGGATTTTGAGCACACATGTGGGCCCAGCGTGAATTTCAAGCCACTGGGTCTAGGACTTGAACCACGGTTGCCCCTCCAAGAACTTGGCAGAGGGGAGGAAAGGGAACCCTGTGTCTCTGAGTATGTCATGGCAGTGAGAAGGGAAGTCCTTTGGGAGCAGAATGGAGTGGGTAGGTCCAGCGTTTGGAGCTTCCCCCATGGAAGAGGCATCTGGGGGAGTCCAGCGCCTTAGCCACTATGGGATCCCCACGCACATCAGGGCAGGGGAAGATGCCACCTGTCATAGGTGCTAGGAAAGCTGCTCAGGGGGCTAGAATCACCTGGGGGTCCAAGAGAGGGTGGAGTGATACCACGGCCTGGTGACAGTGCCATTCACCCTCTCCCCCCAGAGGTCTCCTTGCAGCTGCACAAGGCTGACCCTAAGTCTAAGCTCCCAGTAGCTGTTCCCAAGTGATGACGGATTTACCAGGAACCCTCACACCTGTCCCCCCCACCCCACCCCCTGGCCCAGTTTCTGCAATCACCTGGGGGTCCAAGAGAGGGTGGAGTGATACCACGGTGACAGTGCCATTCACCCTCTCCCCCCAGAGGTCTCCTTGCAGCTGCACCAGGCTGACCCTAAGTCTAAGCTCCCAGTAGCTGTTCCCAAGTGATGACGGATTTACCAGGAACCCAGACACCTGTCCCCCCCACCCCACCCCCTGGCCCAGTTTCTGCCTCAGGCTCCACTCAGCTTCAGGCTGTGGATGCTGTGTCCCAGCCCTCATGCCCAGTGCGGGGCACCTGCAGTGAGCCCTCATAACCTTGGGTCACCTGTGGCCATAGGCTGTCCAACAACCCGCTGACGGCGGCAGGAGTCACCCTGCTGATGGAGGGGCTAGCTGGGAACACCTCACTGACGCACCTGTCCCTCCTGCACACGGGCCTCGGGGACGAGGGCCTAGAGCTGCTGGCTACCCAGCTGAGCTGCAACCAGCAGCTGCAGGAGCTGAACGTGGCCTACAATGGAGCTGGTGATGCAGCGGCCCTGGCCCTGGCTAAGGCTGCCCGAGAGCACCCCTCCCTGGAGCTGCTACAGTGAGTCCTGTCCCTGTCCCTCACCCCTGGCCTGGAGTCCTCCTTCCCTCTCCCCACTGTGCCCCTCATACTCTAGGAAGCCTGCTAGGCCTAGGCCTGGTGCCTGTCCTCCATTCCTAACTTCTAACTGATCCTTGTCAGCCCACTCCTGAGCCAACCTATCCCCTTGTGACTCGCCCTGCCCGGCCCCCATTCCCTGCCACCATTTCTCCTAGAGGCCGCACATCCCTGGTCCCACGAATTCTGGTGGCAGTCCTTGCTTCCCACTAGCCACTGCCCTCCCTCTCTGGCTGACCCCATCGCAGTCCGCATTTGCTTCCTGCTAGCCACTGCCTTCCCTCTCTGGCTGACCCCATCGCAGTCCGCAGCCAGATGAGTTGTGGACTCATGGCCGTCCCTCTGCCCCGGGGCCTTCCTTCTCGGAGCCTTGCTGAATGGTGTCTACTCTTCTCTCTTCTGCTAGCCTCTACTTCAATGAGCTGAGCTCAGAGGGCCGCCAGGTCCTGCGGGACTTGGGAGGCACTACTGAAGGTAGGGCCCGGGTTGTGGCGTCACTGACGGAGGGGACAGCAGTGTCCGAGTACTGGTCCGTGATCCTCAATGAAGTCCGGCGGAACCTCAACAGCTGGGATCGGGCCCGGGTCCGACGCCACCTTGAGCTGCTGCTGCGGGACCTGGAGGACAGCCGTGGTGCCACCCTCAATCCCTGGCGCAAGGCCCAGTTGCTGCGAGTGGAGGGTGAGGTCAGGGCTCTCCTCGAGCAGCTGGGAGGTCCTAGAAGCTGAGATGGCACCCACAGGTCCCTAGCTGTGTGACCACTGGCCTCAATCCCCTCGTACTCCTACGGTCTCCTGGCTTGCACTACTCCTAGAGAGATCTTTCTAGAGCCAGAGGCAAAGGAGTGGGCACAATGGTGCCAGTTGCCCTCCCGCAGAACATCCAGCCAGTGCTCCCAAGTCAGGAGTTTCCAGGGTCAAAGATGGTGAGTCGATGCTCCGAGCTTAGAGATGGAATGCACCTCCTCTGTCTTCAGCCAGAAGGACTGAAGGACGTGGCATCTTGTGCCCAAGTGGCCCCATCTCACTGCCACCAACCTCGCCTCTCCTCCATCTCCAGGAACCTCTGACGGTGCTGCCTAAGGGCACACTTACGTCTCCCGGGCCAGGGCTGTCACCACCCACGAGAGGTGTGGGGGCCGCCCCTCCTGCCTTATGCTCACCCGAGGACACTGAGGGTGACCTCACGTTGGTGCTTCCGCCTTGCGCTCCCGCCCCTTACCACAACGGTACTGATGGCTCTGTGGCCCTAGGGACAGGTGGACCCGACTTGCTGCTAATAAAAAGCTCTGTCTCCCACCTACTGTGGCTTCGTCTTCCTTGCCTGGTGATTCCAAGGAAAGTTCTTGGGCACTAAGGCAATAGGGGTGGGGCTGGGCCAGCCATCCCGAGCCAGAGAAACATCACGTCTTCGCTGTGTACTCCGTGGTGTGGAATCAGTGGCCAGCAGTCTGCCTCTGAATCCCCCAGCACGAGTGGCTGGAGGCAGCAGGG